ACGGCACGTCACGGTGTACGCGACACAGAATAGAGCGGAACGCGTGGTACGGTTAGGTACGGCGCGATACGGCAGGAATGGTGGACTACCCGTCGGGCGGAACACGCGGGGGGGTCTTGGGATACACGAAAACACACGAGAGAGGCAGGCCGCGGGATAGAGCGAGAGAAAAACGAGGGGGCCTGGCACGCGTGGTGCTACCGCCGCGTCAGCCGGCCGACAGGACAAACCACGACAGACTGAAAACGAGGGTAGAAAACGTGGTTACCTTCGCGACGCCCTCGTGCCTCGTCGGCCGGCGCCGCCGCCGCTCGTTCGTCTCGGTTGACGCTCAGGGCCGTCGCACTCCCGGTCGGCACCATTCGGGTCACGTGGCCCGAGCGAGGGTGAACGACGCCACGCGTACGAAGCTCGTCGTCTATTTCCTCGTCTCGGCTGTTTTTAAAATGGAAAGAAGCGGATCGAATTTATCGATAGGAATGCTGCCGCGAGACTTGAAACGAGGTACTGGCTTTATGTTCGGGGATTCCGGAGATTGGGAATGTTTCGCTTTTTCGGGTTTATTTATTGACGAGATGGCGGAGGGTGTTAACCTCGTTAGTCTGTGTGTATGGTTGATTCCGGGAAGGTTGTTGCGGTCGCTTTTGCCGGGTGTTTGTGTTATTAAAGGTGTGATGTATTGCGGGAGATGAATAGTTAAGGCGTAACACGATGCAACACGTTTCTTCTGCCAGTATATCATTTTCGTGCTATTAAAACTTGGACTTCCGGTGTCACGTACGCGCGATTTTTCTCTGCCAGCCGTTATCGGCCGGTGTCACGCGAATGTCGTTTTTCTGTTTTCGACTCCGCCATGTTGAATTAAAATACGGATGTTCTCTGTGGAACGGTATAGTATATTTTGTTAGAACACAATGACTTGGTAATATAAGATATGCGCAAAGAGCTTGAATATTTACAATGATAGTTGCTTAAGAATCATTTTATTCAGGGAAAAATTAATTTTTATTAATCTTACATCTGAATCTGTAATTTTCCTGTATCATAAGTATCAGTATATTTTTATTTTGCGCATTCGTTTAATTCGTAGCTGTGAGTCAGATGTGCGGCATGTTTCTCCCTTTGCTTTGGGCGCTAAAGGGAGTACTGTATTGTTCTTTCCGTGGGTGGGTGAGTTTTATATGGGTAACAGCTCGCGAAATTAGTCTGCTTTCTTTATTTTACCTCTTTTACCCGCTGAGGGAACTGTACCGGTACAGCTGGTCCAAGAATAGTGGCTTTAACGCTTTACTTGGGGAAAGGCTCGTTGTTTCAATTGTAATTCATCCCATTAATCTATTTCGATCCAATTATAAGAGCGGGACAAAAAATAAGGACAATGAAAACTAGCAGCACAGTTTTCCATTTAGATTAAATCGTTACGTGAGGTTGCAAAATGATTCGTTTTTGTACAAAATGCGCACGTGCGCCGTCAGTTTCAGGGATTACCGAATCGTTCACGCCGATGTTTTCCGGTTCAGTTATTCATTTCAGTTTTCTATTTCATCTAGTTCAACGTGATTCGTTATAGTCGCGCTGTTTCCCTGCTTTTTGCGGAAACAGATAACCATAATTTCAGAACATGTGATCCACGTAAGCCGTTTCCACGAGCATTAATATTCGCCGCAGAATTCCTAGCTGCGTGCGGTAAATATTAATGACCAACTCACGTCCGTTCATTCTTTCCGGGGATACTGTTGGCCTCCATCGGATTAACAGATTTTAGGAGTCGTTTGCATAACGATAATTAATGTGAAACGCCTTCTTTCCACTGCGCGCTTCGCCGTAAATTGCTCGCATAAATAATGCCAGACAACGTAACAGGCTTATTCCGATATCAGAAGATTTCCCGGTGGACCGCGATGCAATCCTTAGCAGACGATACCTGAAGGAAACTCGGTACGCCGAGACTTACGAACTCGTTTCGTTCAGGAAATCGAGTCGATTGCGAATTTTCACTATACCGTAGCTAGGCAAGCCTACTTGATCCACGAATCTTGAAATATTTTCACTCTGATCCTATCGACGACTACGTGAACTGATAAATTAGTCCTCTGTGCCTCCATGATGCCTCCTCTTTATCCACTGAACTCGGATAACAGGCTTTTTAAGCGCAGTTCCCCCCCGTGAAAATTTTCATCAGTTAAAAATGTATGAAACGTTGGCGCAGAACATTTCGCCGTGTACGCGGAAGAAATTTAATGAAAGAAGACCATTTATAATTTCCTCTTTAACAGCAGCATTGACGCGTTGAATAGCTCGGACGAAGAGAGTAACTTTTTCATAAGCTGCGCTTAATTTTTAATGGAAAATTATATTGGTCTTAAAAAGTGTAACTATCCTGTACCTAACAGCGATAAAAACAGAAAAAATGGCACTCGCCGGTGCCATTCGGTTAACTTCGCAGTAATCGTTCGCAGTAACTGAAACTTTTCTATTGTAAAAGGGACGCCCGCTCGAACGGCCGCTCGGCTAGATGTTGTCGCTAATAATTAAAGAAAAAGCGTTGTACGAGACGGAGCTTCTACCTTTCAAACGGTATCAAGTTCCGTCCAAACAACATCCCCGTCGGTGCAGGAAGAGTCTCGTAAAAAGCACTCAAAGCACTCCCAACGAAACCGTCACTGTGCGAATTATATGGTGCCTGTTTCTTGGCCGCAAACACGGCGAAATAAGATCGTGACACATTCGAGATTTTATCTTTATTGGCACCGGTTCCCTGAGTGATTAGAATCTTTTCATAATTACGGGATATATACTAAATTGCAGGCTTCACAACACACCCTGTACATTTCTTATAAAGAAAAATAGAGGAACGGGTAAATGTAATTGCAATATTTATATAATACACAGTATCACTATATTTATATGATTATCATACGTAGCAATATTATCATTTAACTAACAGATCATCTCATAACATTTCTTCGAATTCCAATTACTCATATTTCACATAAACGATACACATCACTCTCAGCAGTGCTTCATGCATTTCTTCACTTATGCATTTAGTGCAGCAAAATTCCGCCTAATTTCCTTCTTTCCAATTTAGTATGCCAAATCCTAAATTCACAGAGACCCCAGAGTCTAATCATTCCAATCGATCTGAATCATTCGCCTTGCGCACCAGTTGATAGAAAAACCCTGCGAAACTTGAGAAAAATCACGTTTGCAATCTTCCCGATGAATCAGGCGGGTCCTTCGGCAGGTCGTTTGTCTATAAAATCTGGGACTTTATCGATACCGCGAAATATCGTTCGACTAACTTCCCCGAAACTTCGAAGCGACCTCGTTCAGAGGGTAGTATGCGCGCGCGCGATCGCGTCCTCACGGCGGCGCGCAGTGGGATATTCGGCCGATCTAGGCGGCCAGCAATTTATTTTAAAAATTTTACCTAAGCCGAAAGATTGTTGCTACTTGAGATAACTGCATATGTGAGGAACAATGTCCTACGAATGTTTATATCCTTGTAGCACTCAAAAAGTACTGAGCTACACCGAAAGTTAGGTGTTTTTCAGCTACGCGTTTTACTCCTAACATTTTTCGCAACAATTTCCATATATTGTGGAAAAGTTGTACGAATTTTTCTTCTGTATCAAAGTTTTCAGGCAAATATGCACTCTACCTTTAATAGATCATTACCTTTTTACCATGAATCATTATATATTTTAACATAACCAATACATCACCAATTTAGAAAATTTGCAGAAAATCAATAAACTAAACAGTTGTAGATTATTTATGATATACTATTATGTATTATATATTATATTATTGTATATCATATCATGTGATATATGATATATAAACATATTTTTTATATAATTATATGAAATCATATATAATTTATATTAATGAATTTATTGTTGTATATCGTTACATTACATGCTCGTATTTTCTTGTAAAAGATCGATATAAACCTGTCTTCAATTTTGCCCGCTCAGATCAGGCAAACACCCCACTGTGCGGCGCCTGGAAATTTGTCTTGCAACGGAAACTTTTTTAGGGCAGAGTCTGGCGGCGACCCGGATGCCGGGTTTCGCGCGGAGAAAGGGAGAATACTCGGTTACACGAATGCCAGGGAGTTGGAAGTTGTGTCGCAGTGTCGTGACAGTGTAACGGCCGGTGAGCACGTTGCACATTCAACCCTATCGTTGATTGTTCACGGCCCGCGCCGTTCGTCGCCATGACGACCGAAACTCGGAGCGCCGCGTACACGACCGCTGACACATATTAACGCTTACGCTTGATAGATAAGCCCGTCAGCGAAGAACTGCCAGCCAGATCGCAATCTGCTCGATTGAGGAATCAAACAGCTGGGGAACACGAACGGCAAAAAGTTCCGCGTGCAATTCTAGCAATTCTCATTACCGGCCATTTTCGTTAGTACGAAGTTCCCGTTCTACGGTACTTCACGCGTTGCCAGCCCTGTAATTCTACTGCATCAAACTTTCGCAATTTGCTTTTCGGAAACGAGATCACGCTGGAAGCGTTACTTCGCGAAAACTGTCGTCAAAGATTTATTAAGAACTGATTTTAGAATAGAACGAAGAAACGAACTTATGCATGATGGGTACAGATCAGTGATCTCGGTCATGTACAATTTTGTAATA